ATACATAATCACCTAGCACACCTACCACACATAAAAAATGCGAATTACTTATCACTAGATACATCTACATTGGACTAAAAAAGAAAAAGAAAGAATATATGTATATAAATATTTCATTTTAAGGGTACAGTAAGCGGAGAGAAGTTTTGAAGGATTCAGTGGTAAGACAGGATGAGATGATATCTGGTGGGATCTTATTCCACACAGATAGTTTTCTAGCTCGAGTTCTGCAGTGAGGAATTTGGAAGGATTTGTGATGGACATGCCTTGATTGCCTGGTCACTGGTATTAATCTATTTTCTGGGCTGAAAGACAACTGATTATTTACAACTTTAAACATTATGCACAAGCTTATTTCTCTACGTCTATCAGCTAGGGGGTGCCATTTAAGGTGGTTTATCATATCAGGGACGCTAGATGTTCTTTAAGAATAGATGTGTTTATTTAGTGCATAACAGCCCTGCGTTGTACCATTCCTATATTGTTGATGTTGTTGATGGGTCCCAAACAGGACATGCATACTCTAGGGATGGACGGACTAAAGATGTGTATGCCTGTGCCTTAACTGATGTTGAACCTATTCATGGATTACGACGTAGGAAGTCACGAGTAGAGCTTGCTTTGTTGGTAATGCTGTTGATATGGGAATCCCATATTAGGTTGGACTGAATTGTAACATCCGGGTATTTTGCTTGGTCTACATGTTCCAGTGTATGCCCATGGAGTGTGTAATTATGGAGAACTGGGTTTATCGTCCCCCTGTTTACAGACAACACTTTGCATTTACTCGTGTGGAAAGCCATTTTCCATGTATTTTCCTAGAGTGCCAGTTTGTCCAAGACTTGCTGTAAACTTACAGCATCACTGATTGACTTGACAACTAGATCCATATCATATACCATTTACATTAATCTCAATATAAGGCATGGTTGGAAATTGATGGTCAGGAGGCATGTTACATCTGGAAATAAACTGTTGATCATTGAAAGTTCCAGGTAGGGTAAAAACAGATTAAAACTGTGTGTTAAGCACTTGTGCTTTGCCAACAGGATTATGTATGAGTTTGCCCTCTTGTTTCAATGGAGAGATGCCAAAGTGATCCGATCGTTTGGCTTTTTGACCAGAAGCGTTTCATACCAGAGTATTGGTTATCAGAATTTGAGATATCAGGGTTTAATATATCATCAATATGCTGTCAATAAGATGTACGTAGTTTCTTTAGGACAAGGTGTTTTGTCTTTAAATTTTGATTTTAACAAGGAATCCGCAGATTTCTTTAGCTTTAACATAAAGCCTATCTCGTTTTCTTATGAGCTTTTTTTTTTATCTCGGGGGGTAACCCATGGTAGGTTAGTTTTGGACTTTATGGTTTTCTGTGGGATATGTACCTGGACAGTTTTCATAGTTCACTTTTAAAATATTCCCACATTGAATTTGCATCCCACTCATTATTTGTTAACATATAGTTATAAACATCCCCCAAGTGTAAGTTGATAGAATTCCAATTAGCATTTTTTTATAATGGGATTTTTTTTTTCATTTTTGAACAAGATTTTTGGGTGTGAGAGTAAATTCAACAAAGACGATGTTATGGTCAGATATGCCAGGAATAATTTCAGTACGGGATACTTGATTAGGAGAATTTGTGTCAGACCAGTGTCGTCCAATAAATTTGAAAAGTATGACAAGTTTTGGGTTTAAGAACTTTGTTCTTCCAGTCCCAGCCTGGAAGATTGAAGTCTCCACCTATCATAAGGGCTGCATTTCTCAATTTACAGGCCTCGTTCACCGAATCAATGAATGATTTCGTGCTATCTTCGTCAGAGGTCTTAGGATGGTGAAAAGAGCTGACGAAAAGAGTTTTACTGCCGACTCACTTAACCTTAGCCCATATCATTTCACATGAGCTGGTGGGTGTGAGATTGTATACCTCATCACTAGTAATTTCTTCTTTTATTGCAATGAGAACACCTCCGCCATCTTTGCTGTTATCACACTTTTAACGACCGTTTCGAAAAATTTTGTAACCAAAAGGAAATATTTCTGAGTTTTTTATATTTGGGTTGAGCCAAGTCTGTGCCAATGACAATGTCTGTCGTGGAGCTATCTAGGATATTGCTGAGAAGATGTTGTTTATTTCGAATTGATTGGAAATTTATATTTAAAATTCTTAGTGGTCTATTTTGTTGTTTTTTATCAGTTCTCTTTTTCATACGAACAGGGGTGGATGAATGGAGTGGTTTGTGATGGAGAACACCATCACTGGTGTTTGTACTAGAATTACCCAAGTCGTCAAAACTAGATAGTGTATTAAAATGATTTGATGTATTGGTCTAGACACATAATACATAATATTCATAGGTAGAAGATTTATATCAAATGGTTACAATCAGACATCAGTGATATTTAGTATTGCTTCAATGGACTAATTTGTTGTGATCAATTCAACACAAAGACTAACTGGACTTTGCAGTGCTCTTATAGCCTGGAATAACTGCGACAATGACCTTTAGTGACGTCACCGTACACTTTCTGTCGTCTAGTGTCTTTTTGATGAATATCTGTTCGTCGCGTGTCCAGAAGAAATGGATTTTTTTGGTCGTATCTGAGTTTATTAAGTTCGTTCACAACAGCTGGTCTTTTCTTAGTTAGAGATCATCAACAATCACTGTCTTTTGATTACTGTTTTTCAGCTTCTTTTTGGCGGAGAATATATCTTCGCGGTCAATATATCTCAAAAACCGGATAATGGCCGAGACTTTCCCGTTTTAATTTGTCCCAGAATGTGGTAACGCGAAACCGAGCGTGATTGGACTTTTAAGTCTAAGATGCGTTTCGCAGATCTCAAGTACGGCTTTTAGGGGGTCGAATGTGCTAGCATCATGGCCGCTGGGGACCGGTACGTCATGGACGTCAAGTTTATCGGCCAGTTCATTGAGATTGTTCTGTAACTGGTCGCTTTTGTCATTCAATGCCTTTATTTCATTTTTCTGAATAATGATTTATCGTTCCATGGAAAACACTTTGTCCTCGACAACTGAGCTAATTTTTGTGTTTACATATTTTTAAATTAATTTTTCAGTTTTTTCACTGGTGACCATGTCTGACAACACTTGGTCGAGTTTCGGCTGAACTTCGACGGTCAAAGTTTGAGTAATAATGGAGACTACTAAATTTTCGACGGGTTCAATCAATGCTTGTATCAGATTGTTGAAAAACTCAGGATCGTATGTGTTCATGATAGCATTGGACTTTTGGGGGGGTGAAGTTTCGGTTGGGTTAACAGGTAAAATGCCATTCTATTCACTTGCCATTTTCTTGGACAGTGATTCCACAGAATTATCGGGAGAAGAATCCAAAGTTTGTCTTTTGAGTCCTTATGTCACAGGTGACGAGTATTGACGAGCTTGGTCAAGTGTAATAAGATTTACGCTTACCTGTAGGTCTCTGGATGGGGCGTGCACCCGTGCGTTTACCTGTCTCTCGCTCTCACTCGATGTCATTGTTCTTAGGTGGAAAATACAACATCTTAGATATGTCACTTATTGGAGCAACTGATGACAAAATTTCTGCACACTTCACAGCATCAAATGTTGAGAATGAGCATCGTCATAAAATCTGAAGGAAAATGCCCAGGAAAAGTTCCGAATTAGTAGAAAAAATACCTCCGATCTTAACACCTGTATTCACTATAGCATCACGTGACCACTCTTACTCTTATTCCTGTAAAGATACCATACCCTTGCTCAAAAGATACCTTTGTTTTTAAGACTTGTTTTAAGTTGTTCCTGTTAAGATACCATACCCACGTTCTAAGATATCTCTGTTTTTAAGACTTGTTTTAAGTTACTTCTGTAAATTACTATACCTTCGTTCTTAAGATACCCCTGTTTTTAAGATGCCATACCCTTGTTTTTTTTTTTAAGATATCCTTCTTTTAAAGCCAACTTAATTTTTAAAATATCACTAACTTTAAGTTGGCCCTTATATATCGCCATGTTTTTCAGTGTTATATTTCATTATAGTTACTCCTTGTTCTAAGTTACAGGTCTACGTTTGTGTATGTTTAATTTATTATATTAACTGTGCGTGGTTTTTTTTTTTGTCAGTGTATTAAGAGTTATATCTTATGTTTCTGTCGTGTACTTACGTGAGATAAAATGTTTAATTTTATTTGGTTTTAATCACTGGGATCGGAAACCAGTTTTTTTTTTTTTTTTCAAAACTTGTGTGCAATCGAAAACCAAACGATAGCAAAAAGAAAAAATGTTATAAAATTGAACAAAAGTGGCAAAATGTCAGAATCTTTCAGAACCTTATTATCGGAATAATTAGTAACTCTTGGGCAATCTACGCCCTCTACGGATAAACATTACGAGTTTTCTCCCTTTAATTGTTTGTTTAATGGTCGGGATTTTTTGTGTGTTGAACTTGAACTGAAATTAACTTTACGTTTGTTGTACAAACAATCGTAGAACTGAACGTTTCACGAAGCGCCAGTGTTAGATGCACATAATCAACTGTGTTTTGATGATGCAGAATTACACTGACACACCCCCAGAGGGGTTTCTATAAATCATTTCCGAGACAGTCCCCGTAATCTAACCAATCTGAGTTGGCATAACGCTTCCGTGAAAAGTGCTTACAAAAGAAGCATTTCAGTGAATGTGACAGTCCGGAAGGTCGTGTTTACAAGGAAGTTGAAGCCAAGGTGAAGGATTACTCGGAATGTGTGAGTTGGCGAAGTGTTGGGAAACCAGCTGTTTGCTTCATAAATACATACGGATCAATATGAGGCGTGTTAAACGAGAATAAGTTTTCCATAACAGAAATGGACCAGACGACTGCACAAGATGGGCGACAGGGTTTTGTTACGCACTGACATGTTGGGCGGACAGACCGTGAACTGAACTGATCGTTGGAAATTGGAACCGACAGATCACGCCACTAAATTTGTGATCACGTTTACACCGACATAGATACTCGATTTGATGACCACTATGGAGGGTCTGCTTTGGAAGTGGACAAATTACATGAGTGGTAAGACTGTCTAGCGTCGACGTTCTCGTAGTTGAAACTGGACCGTATACTAGCTTAAAAAATCGATCTCCAATTATAAATATCGATATCGTTGACAACGAAGTAACAATGCTTCCGTGTCGATAGAATCTCACCATTTGTTCTATGACAATACAACATTTTATTGGGTTCCCTACGACACAACAGTTCTTTTAAGTACTGAACGATAGTTGCACTAGGCGTAACTGGTAACCATTATAACAATGTGAGTGTATGCAATTGATGGATTCAAATGTATGGGATACTGTTGATTAATAAGACATGTAACTGTTGTAAATACTAGCAGCACCGGTTGAGAGGACTGATGCTTTACTTGAGCTACAGAACATAAGATTAAACATATTAAGCCAGTGTTCCTGTGTTCAATCACGAGCGAAACATTTGAAATAAACATTGCCCTGTTACATTGGCTTTGGAAAGTCCCAGGAAGTATTGATAGAAAATTGTTTTATCCCCTGAATATCTCCACAATGAGTTTTTTCCTTGATGAGGAGTGTATGTAAGTGTGATAAATACCAACTGGCAATCAAAATACATTTTAAACTGTTTTACTAATCAAATTTCTCTTAAGCTCAGTTGATCCAGTGTAATACCATATAAGCTAGACTTTGGCTTACCTAACTGTCCCAGGTTCATTCACTAGCAGAGGCATTGAAATAAATGATAACCTCAATGACATAAGATTTAGAATTTTACATTTTCCAACAACATACTATAGTGAATGTTCTAAGAGATTTACAGAGGACACCGAAGTGAATATCACAAATTAACAGTTACAGACATAGCATAACCAAAAAATGAATTCAAATGTGCCATTCAGCTGTTTTCAGCTTTCAAGGGCTCTGTGATGCTAAGCATATAAATTATGAAACCTAGGAGATGATTGTAGGGTCTAAAATTGAGAGTTATCTACCCTGGTCTCATGAAATCAATATCGATTGATTCTAAATCGTTAATTTCTTGAAATAAAAATGATACAATTAGGGTTTATCGTGTATATCTAGTTATATATTTTGTTGTTCAAAAATACTCTGAACAAAATCCCCAGTGCCAAATCTATATGAAAATATCCAAATTCAAAACTAGATAATTTTTTTTGTAGTGATGGGAAATTAGCTCAAATCCATAATCCATTATCAGTTGAAATCAGATATCTTCTATGTAATGAATTGATTGCATAATCGTCTGATTTTGTGTTTACTATTCATAGAAAGTAAAACATTCTTGGTTGTAGTGATCCGGTGGTATTTTTGTTTTTGTACTTACAAAATACTTCACTTACGTTGCGTTCGCATAAGAGTAAATATTGTTATCAATAAGCATATCATTCTAATTTTGTTGTAGGATTTTTTAAGGCGAGTCCAAAACACTAATTCCAAAAAAGGGTACCAATACTAAGAAATACAAGGATCTCAAAATTTGAGTGAATCCCAAAAAATAAGAATGAGTCCAGGAATATATATGAGACCTCAAAATCACTGTAATATGAATTTCACTTTGCTAAAATACCAGAAAATATGAAGGTACCAATGATCGGTTATAAAAAATTATAACAGATCACCTCATCATTACTTATGTTATTTCCCTCATGGGATAATTTCATAAAGAACAAAAAAAACCCAAATAAACAGAATTAGAATCATGAGTGTGGTAGATATCTCTTGACATATTTATCTCTTTAACACAAACAGTCATTAAAAACAGTATTTTGAATTTTTTTTTTTTGTTGTATGTTTGTTTCCTTTACTGATAGAGTGCAATTAACTGTTTACCAAACAGTATGTTGTCAAAGCTCAATTAATTGGATGAAAGTGTAAACAGACACCTGTCAAATATCCCTAATGATGATTGGTATTTCATTGATATCATATTTATATTGATATATTGCCAACATTCCAAAGGATAATTTGCATTTCATCAGTACCAGATATATATTTTAAAAAAATGTGTAAATGACAACATTAGCATTGAAGTCCTGTGACGATATAAAAAATTGTACACATAAACAAAAATCATTTTTGGACTTATACATATGTGATAGGAAACTGGGTGTTGCTATGCCTTACATATGTGATAGGAAACTGGGTGTTGCTATGCCTTACATATGTGGTAGGTAATTGGGTGGTGCTATGCCTTACATATGTGATAGGTAATTGGGTGTTGCTATACCTTACATATGTGACCGGTAATTGGGTGCTGCTATGCCTTACATATGTGACAGGTAATTGGGTGCTGCTATGCCTTACATATGTGACGGGTAATTGGGTGCTGCTATGCCTTACATATGTGATAGGTAATTGGGTGTTGCTATACCTTACATATGTGACAGGTAATTGAGTGCTGCAATGCCTTTCATATGTGACAGGTAATTGGGTGCTACTATACCTTACATATGTGACAGGTAATTGGGTGTTGCTATACCTTACATATGTGACAGGTAATAGGGTGCTGCTATGCCTTACATATGTGACGGGTAATTGGGTGCTGCTATATCTTACATATGTGACAGGTAATTGGGTGTTGCTATACCTTTCATATGTGACAGGTATTTGGGTGTTGCTATGCCTTACATATGTGACAGGTAATTGGGTGTTGCTATACCTTACATATGTGGTAGGTATTTGGGTGTTGCTATACCTTACACATGTGAAAGGTATTTGGGTGTTGCTATGCCTTACATATGTGATTGGAAACTGAGTGTTGCTATACCTTTCATATGTGACAGGTATTTGGGTGTTGCTATGCCTTACATATGTGACAGGTAATTGGGTGTTGCTATACCTTACATATGTGGTAGGTATTTGGGTGTTGCTATACCTTACATATGTGGTAGGTATTTGGGTGTTGCTATACCTTACACATGTGAAAGGTATTTGGGTGTTGCTATGCCTTACATATATGATAGGTAATTGGGTTCCATGCATCAAATGATAAGTATAATAGTAATTATAATGCATGTTGATTATTAAATGTCAAATGTTGTTGTTCTTTTTTTGTAGGTTGGCAGCCACGGTGGTTTGTATTGGATAATGGTGTGTTGTCATATTACAAATCACAAGAGGATGTAATCAATGGGTGTAAAGGCTCACTACAGATGGCTGTCTGTGACATATCAGGTAAAAAGCTACAAAGTATTTCTGTACAATGTATAGGGTAATGAAAACAAAATGGAGATTGTTTATGTACATTTAGAGGCATTATTCTTTAGTGGTAAAGTAAAACGGAAGTTATATTCTTTACTTAGCCTGTTCTCCATAAATTTTTATTTCTGTTTCCATGGTGACAATTAGATATCAGTCTGTTCTCCAATATCATTCCATGTTTCCCATACTGATCTTGTTTTGCTGTTTCCATGGTTACAGTACACAGTACTGATCATACTAGACTCGACCTGATCATTCCACATGAACAGCATTTCTACATCAAAGCTTCATCTCCACATGAACGTCAAAGATGGCTGGTTGCCATGGGAACATGTAAAGCATCCTTGACGAATGGCAGGCCATCAGAGGAAATGGGTTTGTACCTTTCTGTCTGGTTATTGCTAATGCCTTTGAAGAAAATAACTTTCACAGCTGTTATGCAGTTTGGTTGGCTAGTTTGTTATATTTGCTATGAACTAAGGTAAAGAAATGTGTTATTTCAGATAGTTGCTAATTTCAGCATGTGTTTATCATAAAAAATGATCTTTCAAGGGTAATACCTTTTGTAACAAAAACTTCAAAATCAGAAAAGTGAAATAGTGAAATTTTCTCTAAATATGGACAAATATCGCTGTAGTTAGAAGTCATTTATTTGAGATAACAGTATACATATGGAGGACACACAGAGATTTACGGGATCAGTGAAGTGTTTGATGCAAAATAACTGCCAAATTTGTTGCCAGGTGACTTATACGATTCCACCTATTTCAAAATTATGCTCTTCCATCGTTTACCGAAAGGTATCTTTTCCAATTATTATCAATTGTTGTGGAAGGATTCTGCTTTCAATTTGTCATTCTGGTGACATTTTTGCTTCATTTTAGGCGAGATATCTGCCGACATTGTCCGGACAAAGAAGTCAGAGTTAAGACTGTACTGTGATCTTCTGATGCAGCAAGTTCACTCAGTGAAGAGTGCTGTCCAGGAAAGTCAACCAGATGTCAAGGTCAGAAATTACAACTTACTTATCAGGTCATTAATTACCTGATAGGTTGTTAGTCTAGGGTCAAGGTCAGTAATTAAAACCTATCTGATGAGGTCAGTAATTACCTATTGGTGTAACAGACAGAGATCAGGGTCAGAAACTAATTGCTATTTTGTCAGTCTAAGGTCAAGGTCAGTAATATCTTAACTGCTGATTTGTCAGTCATAAGGTCAAGGTTAGTAAATTACCTGCTGTTTTGTCAGTTTGAATCAAGGTCAGCAACTTCCCTGGTGTTTTTTCAATCTTGTTTATAACAAGGTCAGTAATGTCAAAGTTAGTAATTTACCTGCGGTTTGGTCTGTCTGTGGTCATTGTCAGGAACTTCTGTTGTTTCGTCAGGCTGAGGTCAAGGTCAGTGATTCGGACTGTCAGTGGTCAATGTCAGGAACTTATCTTCCGATTGTCAATCTGAGGTCAAGACCGGTAACTTTCCTGCTGTTTTGTGCATAGGAGGTCAAGTTTGGTAACTTACCTTCTGTGTCAGACACATGAACTCTTTGATTGATTCTCAGTATTTTAAACCCTTGAGGTACTGTCTCCAGTAATCTAACATTCTAATTCTTTAACTTTAGATTTTATTGCATAGATAACTGTGAAGATTTTGTTTTAATGTTTTTATAACCATTTGGAACCTCTCTGATTTACAGAAGCTGGATGAGGCAACATCTCTCCTTGGTGCTACTTGTGATACATTCATTCAGACTTTGGATGATTGCATGAAAATAGCCAACGCCAGCATTGCTTACGAAACATCGCCAAAACCAGTACGAGATGTCCAACTTATGTTACCTCAAAAACCCCTTAAAAAGGTGTGTTTGAAGATAACATTAGTTATTTTAACAAAAATAATTTATTTTGATAGACATGGTTGTACAGACATCTGAATTAGAAATAAGCATTGATTATGCCTCTTTCATCACAACACTTGATTAGCTGTGTTCTGGTGTTAGAATTTTGTGCTGTTGTAGATAGAATTTCTGTGATAATTTACTAGTTAATGATATTAAGAGATAATTGTAACACTTGTACTTACAAGCATTTAAGTGATAATTGTTTTATATTTTACTTTTAAAAATGAAATCATATTCAAATGAGAAATTTATTATAATTTTTATAAATCACGTGAGAATTATATATAAATTTAAAAGTTATTCTTATCTATTTATAGCTGAAAACTTGCTTATACATTTCAATTAGGAAATTATGTTAAATCTATATCTGTGCTGTTCGTTATATAAAGTCATAATAATCTAGTCTGTTATTTTGTGGCATCTTAATCATCTCCTGACAGTACAATATATTATGGAACTTTATAACAATTTTGTGTGGAAAGCATTCCTGAAGAATATGTCAGTCATGGCAAGTAAAACACATCTTTGAAAAAAATTTTATTTGAGATAGATTAAGTTGGAATTTAACGTTACTGTTACACTTAATAACAATGGTAAAATTACACAATAGGTCATTATTTTAGTTGAAAATGTTTTGTATTTAGATTCAGGTCTTTTGCTTTTGAAATTTTATTGGGAGAGTTTGGTAGGGGAGGTGGAGATGGGCTAAAAATGGTTATGGTTGTCAGTCCTTCCATTTCCAAATTAATTTCATAATTTGAGAAGTTCTATACCTGATCCATTTCAGGTTTGTATAGGAGTAGGGACCTAAATGTTTGCACTTTTTTAGTTTAATAGTTTGCATAGATCTTAAATGGAAATTTACAAGAAATAAAATATTTCATATTTTTATTCTCCCTGAACGGACAGCATATAGTCACCACTTTATCGATCCTTCTGTTCGTCCATCATAAATTTGTCCGGAGCATATCAAAAAAACTATAAGAGGTATAAACATGAAACAAGGAGAAGTGCAGTGTACAAGGGCAATAACTCTCTTTTGTATAATTTAGGAGTAATTGCAACTTTGTATATACATTGGCCTTACTTAGAGAATGTGCAGTGTACCAAATTCAGGGCCTTCAACTTCTTAATTACAGGATGATTGCCCTCCCTTTCATTAAATTTTGTGTCCTATAAAGTTGTTTTCAGGGAGCATTTGTCAGTTTCACTGATGCTCTTGTTGTTGTTATAGTATCATACAATATATGTTTTGCCACAATCGCAATGAAAAATGACAGTTCCTGCTTAAGGATTTTTTCTGAATAGCTGTTCTGAAGTTTTAGAATGAAAACGTAACAATTTTTTGTGAAATCTGCACCAGAATAGCTTTGATATCATTGTATTAACTTTTTTTTTCTTTGTTATTAGGGGGAGAGATTGTCTACATCAGGACGGTAAGTCAATTAGAAATGATATATCATGTGCTCATTGATCCATATTTTCAATTTTATTGTAAATGTTGGTGTTCGCATCAAGATATTGTGAAAATTTGACAGATAATTTGGTCCGCAGAGATGTGATCACTTTTTTTTAGATGTAAATCCTTTTTGTTCTACACATATGTCAAAGTTCAAATTTGTGTGGATCTATTGTCCATATTGGATTTTACGAATGTTCAACCCCTCTTGTATTTGTGATGCATGTATGTGGATATTTCACATATTAAACAAATGTAATGTATAGGTGGTTAAGTTGAATAAGGACACTTGATCCGGAAAAAAAAAGAGAAATTTGTCAGATGTGAATTATGTTTATATCTAATGATGTAAATTGTAGACCCCTGTCAGCAGAGTCCAAATCAATGAAAACTTCTCCACTTCCCAGAGATGGTTTGCCATCTTTTCCGAAAAGTTCAAATCGCAGACGAACTGCGTCAGAAAACTCTTATTCTGATCAATCCTTATCTGATCATTCAAGTGACGCAAACAGAGACAACACAGAAAATGATCATAAAAATTCAAGTGCAAGACTGACTGTCACCATAGAAAACAATTCCCTCAGCAAGCCATTGACTTCTGGTTCTCCACATTCTTTTGTACCAAAAACAAATGTGAATTCTGGACTGGATTATGATTCAAAAAGGACAGAAAATGGAATTTCGTCTCTTGAGAAATCCAGTTTGAAGTCACTGTCATCTACAAGCATAAATAGTGAAGAAGAATTTAAAGATGCTATAGATGCAAAAGTTCCTACGTTTTTCTCCGCAATGAATCCTAGGTATGTTTGAAACGTATAAATATCTGTGGCTGTTTCTGTTGTGATCTTGTCCCATGGATTTCTTTTGATTAACATAATGTTTAATATCACATTTAGGAATGTTTGATATCACATTTGAGATTGTTTTATATCATATTTAAGATTGTTTAATATCACATTTAAGATTGTTTAATATCACATTTGAGATTGTTTAATATCACATTTAAGATTGTTTAATATCACATTTAAGATTCTTTAATATCACATTTAAGATTCTTTAATATCACATTTGTTAATATCAAATTTAAGATTGTTTAATATCACATTTGAGATTGTTTAATATCACATTTAAGATTGTTTAATATCACATTTGTTAATATAAAATTTAAGATTGTTTAATATCACATTTGAGATTGTTTAATATCACATTTATGTGAAATTTAAGGATGTCAGTTGACAAGATTTTGAACATATTGAAATGATTTTTACAGTTTTATGGATATCAGATTTGAAGAAGATGCTGGTATACCTGTTGAACCATTCCTGGGAAGCTGTCGCTCTCTTGTGCCTATATTTGGTAAATATACCCAAACAGTGTAATCTGAAAACTGATATAATAGATATCATATCCTTTTCTTACCACATCTGTTACCTCCAGATAAGTTTGTCTGATATACTGATTTATTCATAAATAACGTACATGTTTTATTTTTCAGACAAGTTCAATGCCACAACATTTGCTCCTGTTAAAATGGATTTTCAGGGAAATATACGTGTAAGTTTAAAAATGATTTTTTTTCTATGAATTTTGTAATTTGGATTTGATAGAAAAGAATTAACATTGGCGGGGGTCGAAAAAGATAAGAAAGTGTGGGTATAATTGGAAATAAAAATATAAGAGAGTCAGGCTATAAGTAGAAATAAAATGTAAGAGAGTATGTGTATATCTATGTGATTCCCTGATCACACTGTTCAGATCCAGTTACTTATTATTTCAGAAAATACAGCAAAAATATTCTACAAAGCCGGGTGAATTCAGTACATTACAGCGAATTGTGCTGTTTGAGATACAAAGTAAACAGCACCACATATCCAGCTCAGCCACTGTAGCATTACTGTGGATGAAAAGGTATTCAACCTTGTCTCTTTCAACTACATATTATAACTACTTATCGTATATATATATATATTCCAACTATCAACCATCAATTGTTTCATTGTACTGAAATCAGTGTGTCATTTTAAGCAAAATTTATGTATTGGCCCAACATTTCAAGAAAGAAAAAAAAATTGCATATTCTCCACCTGTCTTCATCTCTCTGCTTTAAAAGGAAAGTTTGAGTGAAAAGTGATTGTGTTACTTTATTTGTTTATCAGTTAGAATAGAACAGTACAGCTATTGTTTACATTACAGCTATTGTTTACATTGCAGCTGTTGTTTACATTTCAGCTATTGTTTACATTGCAGCTGTTGTTTACGTAACGGCTATTGTTTACATGACGGCTATTGTTTACATTACAGCTATTGTTTACATTACGGCTATTGTTTACATTACAGCTATTGTTTACATTACGGCTATTGTTTACATTGCTGCTGTTGTTTACATAACGGCTATTGTTTACATTACAGCTGTTATTTACATTGACAAAAACATCATTACCTCCTTTCTGAGCCTGAAATATGTGTTGTTTTTTAATTCTAAAAATTGTCATGTTGTCTTTATTAAAACATTTCAAAAAATATTAAGAGCAATATTCCAGAGCTTTTCCGAACTCCACTGTGAATTATTTCAAATCTACAGGAAATAATGGATTTTTTTTCATATTCTTTATCATAGATTCTGCAGACAGGACGTTTAGAGAAAGCCAGTAGTATTGAAAAAAGTTTTAAAATTCTCCTTGATAGTGAGGGCATTCATGTTGCTGTGACACACCTAGTTCACAGTTGATTGTACATTTAAACCCATACACTTTCTAGAGGCTTTGCTCTTGTCTTGAAACAAAATGTTTGGAAATAGAAAAACATAAATCGATCATGATATAAATTTAGATGTATTAAAAAAATTTAATTTCTTAAAGTAACTGTCATACCTACACATAACATACCTTATTTATTTGGGGATTAAATGTTACTCATACTTACATTTCTATTTAAATATTTGTGCGAGTTCCAGTGAAAATTCTGTCAATTTATAATTTAAGTTAATATATCATTGTGTGAAAATGTCTCTGTACATTCCATATCAAGAGGCCTGGAGTTTATTCGGGAGATATTTAAGGAGATGCTTGATGGACAGCCAGACCTGTCTTTAGCCGTCAACAATGCCTACAGTCGGACGCTCAAACCATTCCATGGCTGGGTAGTACGAGGGGTTTTTGCTGTTAGTATCACCTGGTTTTTATACGAAAAAAACCTTTCATACTTAATGAGTCTAGAAATATTGCTTTTAGAATTGTCATAGATTTAAATATGAAAAAGCCAAAATCTGTTGTAAATGTATTTGATGTAATCAATCATCTATCTAAATCACAAGCTACTATAGTACTCATTCCTATGGGTAATTTCTAAAGTGACTCATTCCTATGGGTAATTTCTAAAGTGACTCATTCCTATGGGTAATTTCCTAGTTTACTCATTCTTTTGGGTAAAATACCTTGAATATTTATCGTCTTTTTGGTTTTTTCGTGATTCCAAATACTGTTAAAAGATTTTAAACTTTGACAAAATTTATGAAAAAAAAAATTGGAACCACATTTTAACAGACTTTATATTGTTAAAATTGCTATTTATCATGGTTCTTTTTCCAATATTTTAGAGAATAAAAATCATAAAAAAATGGATTCTTTGAAAATAAGATTGCTAAAGGTAATTGTAGTTCCTTTTATAACATGCATTGTAAGCAAGCATCCCCTTTGTAGCAAGCTTTTGGTAAAACAGTGAAAATTTGTGACTTTGCAAGAAAACTGCCATTGCAATATGTTCTGTATGTCGTTTCATAAACTGAAATCATGAATTAATTATTGAAAAGTTTGTAACAGATACATATATTACTACAACATCCTGTCTCCTGTTACAGGTGGCCGTAAAGGCTTTACCTTATAAGGAAGTCTTTATCACACAGCTCAATGCACCAGGTCACGTGGGTGAGGGATCTCTCTTCATCCAGTCTCTCATGGCTGATCTCGACAGCTATTGCACTGCGCTGGACGAAGTGATCAAGATCCTCAAAGACTTCTACAAATCCAATTCTCTGGACAACGATGAACAAATATGATGGGTTTATTTTCATTATTGATACTTAGCTCTGTCACAAGCTGTTATGCTCTTGGTACCCTCGGGTAATATGAACTGTTGCAATGTACTTACAATTGATTTAAATGTTGATGACTCGTTTTGTTTGATGTTTATGTTGATGTCTTTTTTGGCTCAAACCATCTTCTTCATACTACACTGTTTTACAGCTTATAACTGCAATGTTAATACACACTTCAAGGTATTACTTAAGGCTCATTATCTGCATATAAAGGTGACAAATTTTCAAAATCAAAAAACAATGAAGAGAAGCAAAAACCAGATGATTAGTGTGGTATTTTTTAAATATAATTTCACAATTTTATAATCAAGTGATAATGCTAGAAATTACTTAACTTGATAATAAAAAAAAATTGGCAAAAATTTTTTATATTTTTGGGCATTGTTCATGTTCACTAGCATCAGAATTAATAAAATAGACCTGCGATCACATTGAATAATGCAGACTTTCCACATGTTATTATAAATATATATTTATATATATTTATTAATTTATCATTTTCTGATTTATTGTGATATGTAAAAATCTATTTACATGTAGACTTACAAACACCAAGAAAATGTTCCATAATAAAATAAAATCCAAGATTTTCATGCATTCCCAATTATGTGATAAAAGAATTATGTCAAAGTTTCCTTTTTCTATGAGATTTATGATTCAATATTTCATCCCTACTTCTGATTATGAGAAATTTTCATTTCCATTTTAATTAGCTCACATGGCCCAAAGTGAGCTATGCCATGGCACGGCGTCCATTGTCCATCCGTGGTCCAGTGTCAACTTTATCCTTTAAACAACTTCTCTTGACCTAAATTGAAGGTCACAGCAGTCAAATTTGTTAAAATATTTAAACAACTTCTTCTCATGAACTAAAAGACCTAGAGGCATGATATTTGGCTGGTATGTTCCAATGATGAAGACTAACAAAGTTTGGGAAAAGAAATGACCTTCACCTTTATTCAAGGTCACAGTGGTCAAGTTTGTTAAAACATTTAAATGATTTCTTCTCATGAACTGAAATCCTAAAATGATATGGTATATATACCAGATGAGTGCTGAAGGCCCATTGAGCCTCTTGTTTTTGAAAACAAAAATGAAATGGGAACATGCTACAGATTAAAAATTTCCAATGACTTAAGACATTAAGGTAATTTTGTTTAAAAGTGATATTTGGTTACAGGCTAACTCTGATACCCTTCTTGAACTTGGGACCAGTTGATCTTCTGAAAAGATGGATATTGATAATCCACAGATTTTGATACAAAGTCATGTTCACAGTTCTTGTTTACAGAGAATTGAAAGCTCTTCTCGAGAGAAATTTTATTCAGTTAAAGAATGGACATCATCAGATTTGTATTCTTCTGTGAATATGGTTTTGTTTTCAAAGCTCACATGTGGTTTAAATTGTCCAGCTTCAGAACCAAAACTATGCTTAAGTTTTTACATACAATGAATGAGTGGTTTAAGGTATCTATGCCTTGTACAAAACTGCACAATTATATGTATTTTAATCACAAATACTACATGAAGTAGAGAGGGGTCAATTCATTAATCAATGATGGATTTGAATTGAATTTTATGATGGTTACTCTTGATTGTAGACACAAAATCTGATGAAATTGAACTGTGTGTATTTCTGTTGTTTATTTTAAAGCATTTGTGTGAAATTTTGATTTCCTTGAATATTTTAAGAATAGTGTAGAAATACAACATGTATGAAATTAATATTATTGTCTTAAGTTGGAAAATTTATTCGGAAACTAGCTCATTTTCTTGGAACACAGAAATTGAAAATATCAAAATGAATGCCTAGAAACCAACCACCAATTTTTTAACAATCCCAAAATCACAAATTAACAGTGTTGCATGTATCATCAATTTTCTTTCTGATATTATGTTTGTGGATTGTAAATCAAATGGTGCTTTAGAGTTGTATAATTATATTTCTTCAGCATCTAGATATATGTAGTACAGATTTTGTGTTTTAATAGAATTGCTATATTATTGCAATCAGTAATCAGTATACCTGTAACAATTATACTGTAAAATTATCTATTTTTGTGGGGCTTAAATTTCGTGGTTTTACAAAATTGTACATTTATGTTGACACTTGATTTTGTGAATTAAGTTTATTTACGAAATCCACTAGTCGAAGTCTTTTTATCTGTTTATCATTTTGTGCACATAAACATTCATGGATTAAAAATAACTGAAAATATTTACAACAAAACCCCTATGATAATTAATGATTTTGAAGTAATATCAAGTTGGAAAAATATGTAAATATAAATGGGAATTTAATATACGGTTTCATTTGAACATGTTTAATTGTATTTTAGTGATACACTGTGTTTATTCGACAATAAGCCCATGGATTGTCTATGGTTATCCACATGGGTGACCGTACAGGAATTTCTATTCATGCAAGATTGGCGATAAGCATCTTTGAATTTTTATCATTTAACAGAGCTGAGTCAGAGATAATGTGTTTGCCACTTGGCTTATTTCAGATTTAATACGGTCAAGGGTAAAAGTTTTTTTATATAGAGATGACTATTTTATATGTTTCATACTATGTATCTGCAACCATGAACTTATAGACTTTTAATGCCTTTTCCAAGAAAGAAAATAAGATGTTTTTAAACTTCCAACAGTCAAAAAACAAAAAAATCCACAATCTTAATAATATAGAATGCAAAAATAGCATTGTTTAAGGCTTGTCCGATTAGAACAGCTACACTTATGAACTAGCAACATCATCGTTAGTATATATACTTAATGCAATATTTTACTTTGTAACAATCGAGCAAATAAGTTTTACATCATGGGTTGCTAAGATAAACAACATTACCAGACACTTTACCAGAGGTGACATGCAGGCACATAACGGGTAAATTCAGTTATGGTTAAAGTTCAGCTGTGGGCAACACACGGTCAACGCTGAAAATGTACATTAAAAGCATGGAGGCAGTTCCTATCCATCTGTATCCAAGTCTGAACTGCAACATATTCCATCTTTTCATAATGCAGAGTTGTCTACCCTTGTTACCAAGTACTGATTGTTGTGGCCATTGGATTTTGAGAAAATAACATGATTATTTTTGGAATGCTTATGGTGTAACTATCAATACCTACCCAAAAAGAGCAGACAACTCTGTATTGTGAAAAGAAAGAATATATGTTAGAATATTATTTTTGACATCAAATTTAGACCTACCCTAACATTAAAGGATAGGTTGAGAGGAGTCAATCAAAATGAAGACACAATATATTCTTCCATATCTTTTATAATCCTACATTGTTGTTTTGTTAGAAATACACACAAATTATATATCATTGTTCTTGAATGATCTCAACTCTTTCACTATGAGTGCAATGTGTTGTTGGAGCCCCCTGGGCTTAAAGCAGAACAAATATGGTAATTATATTACTCATTAATTATAAATGAATAGACTAGGTTATTAATGCAAACTTAACTGTAGAAATAAAAATATCACTATTGAGCTGATTCTTGGATGGATGCATGTATATGTTTGAATATACAAAGGTATACATTTATAAGTAAGAATTAATATCATCCAGATAAAAAGGATTTACATTATTAGAAACTATATTCTTTATTTCATAAAAAGAAACATTTTTCAAAAAAAAAATATCATTGATGATGTTTCACTTGAAAGAAATCACTTTTGATTGAAAGTAGAGAAAAAAACATCCTCGCCCTGTCAGAATTCTTTATCTATCTTAGGAGAGCTTTCATATTCAAATGAATTGCTACAATTTTGTGGTTGTGAGAAAAAATGGCTGATATGTTGTGTGTTGTTCAGGAATGATTGGATTCTGTATAAATGTTGATATAGGTCATCCTATAATATCGGGGATGAGTTAGTGTGTATGTTTGACGGAACACTGCCAAAGCTAAGTGATAATACAGCTTCAAAGGAAAAATGTTTACAGTTTGTTTGCTGTTGTTTATTGTTAAGAAAGTTAGTGCTTTTGTTTTGTTTTCTGTTGATGTGTCATTTTTATTGTATAAAAATGCAATATATTGACTATTTATTTGTTTTTGTTCACTGTGTGGTGTTACAATGTACATATGAATACATGTATTTACCAAGTGCAACTTAACAACAGAATTTGGAAACTGTATCACGGAAAATAAATTTTCTTCGCTTTTACCATTCCTACAAAATTCTATTATAATGTATTAGTGACATGAAATGGATCTCTCTTTAACTGATTGAAATGTCAAATATTACAAATTACAGAATAATTTTGTACAAAATCCTTATTGTCAAAATTTTTCATTTAATACAGCTGGTGCCTAATCTTTAATGTAGGTCAAAAACAAACCAGGGTTTTTTTTTTTTTTGTGTGAATTTCAAAAAAATGTCTGCCACGAGACAACTGTTAACATTTGTAAAACATTTTGCAGAACCAAAAAGAAAAGATGTACATTATAATTCCAATAACTATACAATGTCACTTTAGTTTTGTCTGGGTCCAACTCTACAAGTTAGACCAGTTTTGACAGATAGAGACTGTGTGTTGGAAGAGAGAACAGTAAGCTATTAAAAAAATGAATTTCCTCAACACTTTGTGTTCCTCAGGTGCTGACAAGAGATTTTCCACAATGACCGAACTTTTTACCTTATTACTTAAATATCAGTGATATATTTCATCTTATCTGAAATTATTTAATTGATATGAATTTGCTGTTCCACTTCACCTTTATGGCATTCTGCTGTTCAAAACATACGGTTTTGATGTTCAATTCTATCAAAATGTCCCAAAACGGGTGATTGAACGTGAAATTGACAGTTTTTAATTTATTTTCAACTTTGCGAATTAAATTTTTATGTAATTTTTTTTTCGAGGGTGAATAATTATCACAGATGTGATGATGTATATATGTAGTTGTGGTTTTACAAATCATAACAAATGAGGGAAAAGTGCATTAA